CATGCATTATGGTTACACGACAGGAGTTGTCGGACCAACCACATCCTGCTCGTACGCAGAATGTGCCCGGAAGTCGGATGTGCAGCAGTGAATGGGACTGCAAAGGCAAACCACCGGGAACGTCCTCACTTGCGAAATATTGCCTGAATTCTTCTAACCAACAACTATCGCTGAACGATATAAGTGAGCGGAACTCAGTATCACTCCATAGCCTAGGCTATATTGCCAAGCAGAGCGGATCATTTCAAACAGGATTCGGCTGGACTGGCGCACCCTGGCAGCATGTGCTGCATCCTATTGGAGCCGGTTGATCCGGGAAAACCCGTACACCGAGCGTCTCAGATACGAGGCTGAGATCAGCTCAGCTCAGCTCCGGCTGTCAGCGCCCGCTACCTGCTGCCGCCGTCAGTGTCCCGCTGTCAGCACCCGCTACCCGCTGTCGCTGTCAGCACCCGCTACCCGCTACCGCTGTCAGCAGCCGCTACCGCTGCCCGCTACCCGCTACCGCTGTCAGCACCCGCTACCCTCTACTGCTGTCAGCACCCGCTACCCGCTACGGCTGTCAGCACCTGCTACCCGCTACTGCTGTCAGCGCCCGTTAGCTACCGCATCAATAGGTATGAAGCTCATCTAAACCTTCCGCGCTCAGCTCAGCATGGCACGGTGGGAGGTCCTTTACGAGCCCGAATGTCTGACGCGGCGCCTGTGCAATTTATTGGTAAACATCGGGGACAGATGTGCCCGTATCCTCTCCGTGTGCATATAATATGGTCACACACTTCACCACCATTACCAACATATATTTTAACCGATGTTGACAGAGCTCTAGCACCGTGTATCATTAGCTGCACTGGGTGACAGCCAATTAAACACGATAATTAGACCGGCGGTTACGTCGTTTTCACTCCGTTGGCCGTAACATTCAATAGCATGAAGATTCCACGCTGCTGTAATGGAACAAAATTACCACAGTTACACTTGAAATGTCTTTTTATGACCATTGTAAGTGACTGACGACGCGCAAAAGCGCAACATTTAACTCACGGTCATGCCTTCTTCCTGACGCCAGAGCCAGAGGCCCACTCTCTAGTAACGGTAAGAGCTATCATTTATGTGGATGGCGAAAAAAAAAAACATGGGAAAGGGCGAATATATCAAAATAAACCAAAAACGAGCTCAGTCGGCTTAAAATTGGTATACATACAGAAGCAAATGGTCATGGCAGGCTGGTGGAGCCAGCACAATCGTTAGTAACTACGTAATTACGGCTACGGAAGCCAGAAAAAAGCGAAGGGAACTCAACAGTCAACAGCATTTTATTCTTACGAATAAGGAAGGACGGTCACGCCATAAATTCATCACATGCTTAAATCGTCAGCTACATTCACCATCCCTAGCGAGAGCGCAGTCCCGTTGGCAAGTCTTGAACGATATTGTGCGCTTCGCAGAATCTGAAAATGTTAAAAAGCCAGCAGTAAGTGAACTACACTGATCCACCTTACGCAAGTCTGCAACGTCTTATAAATCTCGTATAATATCTAATGAGGAATCCACAATCCCTGAACAGCGACCATAATCCCATGCATCCGCAAAAATAAGCTGAAAGCAGCAGCCTACACTGCCACTGAAGAACCGCAGGTTAGGAGTTGTTTGAGAGCGGGACCTTGCCGAAAACGAAAGAAAGACCGAACTCCCGAGGACCAAAAACAATGGAGCTGGCATAGGATGGCCTGACGAGTGGATATCGTTCAGGTTCGGTCTGTGAACGCCTATGTATATACTCGCACCTGTTAGTTGTCATTTGTCTTGAAGGTACGACAGACGACTGCTGGTTTGAATTGTTCTGTAACAAAAATAACTGATACACACTTATGGTTTCAATAAATTTGCGCAACTTAAGTGCCCACAAATGCTAGTCTACTGATGTCATCTATCATCAATCATTACTAAACAGACATCAAAAATGTTTCTTGTAATCAGTTGCAGAGCTTATCCTCTTACGCACCCGAGAACATACCGAGAAATTCTGCGTCGGCTGCCATGCACAAAGAAACCTCCTATAAAAAGCCGCGCTGGTGTACTCTGCAGAGCGCGTCCCCTCGCCTGTCACCGGCCAAGAGTTATGGCCGTGGCGCCACGCACACCGCCAAGGCCAGCGGCGTGCGTGTGCGTCGTACTGCTATTCGCAGAACGGCATCGGGTGCCGTCATGTCGCAGCGCCGCAAACCCTCCGTGAAAGGCGTCACCGTGCTCCCGCATACATACGGATGACGTCCGAGAAAACGGCAGAGCCGACATTGACCTTGGTCGTGCGCGCAGGAGATGACGCACAGAGGTGCGGACCGGATTCGCCGCGGGGCCTGGCACGCACATGCCGCGTGCGTGGCAGGTAGGCGGTAGCAGAGATCGTGCTCCGGAGCCTGACGGTGCATTCTGACAGGCAGCTGGACCCGCATATCGGCGCATGTGATTGCAGAGAGGTGTATCTATTTGCATGGAACTTGCTACACAGGTGAACAGAGCGGGCCGGTGCAGCTGAGTGGCGAGGATGGTAAAAAGGATCGCGGGATCCGATAAGAGTGAAGAAGATAATTCGGACCGCGATCTCACACATTGACACACGTGCCATCTTACATGAAAGGTGCATGTAAGCAAGAACAAGGAGGCTCGTAGTGGATCTAAATTTTCCTGAAGGCATTCGTAGACGCCGGAACAAACCAAACAGCTCCTCCGATGTCCACCGCGCCACGCTTACTTCCGATGTAAATTAATCAGGGCCCCAGAGTCGGAGTCGTTTTTATGAAGCTGGTGTCGGAGTCGAGTCGGAGTCACCGAAAATCCACCGATTATCCTTAAAATAATTAATTGATCAAATTTACAATGGATGGTATTTGAACAAATGGATTTAAATTTGAGTTCACACCCGCTGCACCTATCCCCGTTTCCGAGCCCAAAACGGCTCGCAGTGAATGGAAACGCGCGCACACACCCATGTGCTATTCTGTCGGAATACTCCCGCAACCACTGCACGGCGCATGTCGGTGCATTGTGCAGTTTTCACGGCGACTGAGCACCGGCTGCACCGAGCGCTGCGCGCATACAAAGCATGTGCGTAACGCACACACACACACACACACACACACACACACACACACACACACACACACACACACACACACACACACACACACACACACACACACACACACACATACACACGGGGGGGGGGGGGGTGCAGGAGCGGCGCTGACCGTCCCTGAACTGGGCATCTGCCCCTGAACCCGGCGGTCGGCGCCGGCCGCCCCTGACCGGCGCCGGCAGGACGAAACACCGTGCACAGTGAGCAGTGCACACATTGCCGCCAGCCGGAGGGGAGGATGGGACCGAATGGCAGAGGCTCAATCTCGGCAGTCATCTGACGGATGTCACAAGATGTTGGTTAGACGTTAATTGTTGGCTGGTCAGTGGCTAGCAATCAGCTGCTAGCACGCATGCAATGGCTAGTGTTCGCGATCAAGTGGTGAGTGCATTGTTCCCTGATTGCCAGTGGTCAGCGGTGGTGAGAGGTCAGTCGTACGCATTTAATGGTGGCACCAGTCAGTGGTACTGGTCAATGCAAGCCAGTAGTAGTCTATGGTCAGTGTTCCATTATCAGTCAATGGCAGTGGTATAATTGTCGGTAGCCAGTGCCAGTGTCAGCAACAGGTCAATGATCAGACAAAGTGGTCAGATGTCAGCGATCAGAGGTCGTCCCTGACCCTGCGGTACATTTCCGCCGCACCGGGCCTGGTCGCTGTCCCCGCTCTGCCATTTGCACACGCTGTGTCAACAGTGTTCCGCGCGGGGACCGGGCGGTCAGCCTGCCGTGCAGCCCCCCCCCCCCCCGGCGCAAAATGCGTGCGGGGGAGTGCAGGACGGCCCAGCAGCACGCACAGTGGGTGAGGGGAGAGAGGAGGGAGAGGGAGGAAGGGAGGGAGGGAGGACAGTCCCCTAACAAACGGCCACTGACGAAACACAGACAGGGCCTATCAGTCCACCGGAAATGGACGCTGCAGGGAACGACAACGGATTGGAAATGCAAAGATGGGGACAGTGGAAAATAAAAGCCAACGCATAAAACTACGTAATAACTTTAAAGTACTTTAAAAATGCAAAAATGGCTACAACATTGAACGCGTAAAATAAGCAATTATCGACACATGTCACATAAACCACAAAACCCCGTTGCTAAACGACACTAGGAGGCAAGTTTTAGCCTCATATAAAAGACAAATGCCACCATTTAATGGCACAGTTTGGTTCTTTGTTGCTATGCTAGCGATGTTCAAAGACAATTGCCATTATCATAATTGTATGTTCCAAACCATACGTCATTGTACGAAATGTCCTTGCTTATCGCAGACTATGCAACCATTCGCTAACCCGCCGTCCCATTGTGCGTGAGCACTAAGCGTGTGTGTTGTCCCATAGCGAACACACACAAAACAAATGCAACGTTTACACTGTTCAATTACCTTCAGCATCTTACAAATGGACACCTCAGTCGAAATCGCCCTCGGCGGAAGGACAGGTAACAATATCGGATCTTAGAAGTGTGAGATAGGTTGAATGAAGGTACCCATGCCGGTCGGACGTTATCAGCGCTGTTTGAATAGACAGGTATGCAGTCACCACTGATCTGACCGATAACGGATATTTGCACACGTGAGTGACAGCGCTGTGATAAAGTGCAATGGCCGGAACATGCGAGCAAATATTACGGCAGTGCTACCAATATTTTAAGGCGACTTGGGAAGCATAAATAGGCGATAAAATATCAAAATTTAACAAACACCACAACCACCGATAACAACTCTGGGCGGCCTCAAACATCAGTTTGTCAGTACATGACACCACTGACATCACCGTACCTGCATATTACATCAGTGACATCAGCAGGGCAGCTGTGGGATGGGTCACGGACAGATGGACGGTCAGTCTCAGATCCCGGTGGTGGACAGATGGACGGTCAGTCTCAGATCCCCGGTGGTGGACAGATGGACGGTCAGTCTCAGATCCCCGGTGGTGGACAGATGGACGGTCAGTCTCAGATCCCCGGTGGTGGACAGATGGACGGTCAGTCTCAGATCCCCGGTGGTGGACAGATGGACGGTCAGTCCCAGATCCCCGGTGGTGGACAGATGGACGGTCAGTCTCAGATCCCCGGTGGTGGACAGATGGACGGTCAGTCTCAGATCCCCGGTGGTGGACAGATGGACGGTCAGTCTCAGATCCCCGGTGGCGGACAGATGGACGGTCAGTCTCAGATCCCCGGTGGTGGACAGATGGGCGGTCAGTCTCAGATCCCCGGTGGTGGACAGATGGGCGGTCAGCCTGAGATCTCCGGTGGTGGACAGATGGACGGTCAGTCTCAGATCCCCGGTGGTGGACAGATGGACGGTCAGTCTCAGATCCCCGGTGGTGGACAGATGGACGGTCAGTCTCAGATCCCCGGTGGTGGACAGATGGACGGTCAGTCTCAGATCCCCGGTGGTGGACAGATGGACGGTCAGTCCCAGATCCCCGGTGGTGGACAGATGGACGGTCAGTCTCAGACCCCCGGTGGTGGACAGATGGACGGTCAGTCTCAGATCCCCGGTGGTGGACAGATGGACGGTCAGTCTCAGATCCCCGGTGGTGGACAGATGGACGGTCAGTCTCAGATCCCCGGTGGTGGACAGATGGACGGTCAGTCTCAGATCCCCGGTGGCGGACAGATGGACGGTCAGTCTCAGATCCCCGGTGGCGGACAGATGGACGGTCAGTCTCAGATCCCCGGTGGTGGACAGATGGACGGTCAGTCTCAGATCCCCGGTGGTGGACAGATGGGCGGTCAGCCTGAGATCCCCGGTGGTGGACAGATGGACGGTCAGTCTCAGATCCCCGGTGGTGGACAGATGGGCGGTCAGCCTGAGATCCCCGGTGGTGGACAGATGGACGGTCAGTCTCAGATCCCCGGTGGTGGACAGATGGACGGTCAGTCTCAGATCCCCGGTGGCGGACAGATGGACGGTCAGTCTCAGATCCCCGGTGGTAGACAGATGGACGGTCAGTCTCAGATCCCCGGTGGTGGACAGATGGGCGGTCAGTCTCAGATCCCCGGTGGTGGACAGATGGACGGTCAGTCTCAGATCCCCGGTGGTGGACAGATGGACGGTCAGTCCCAGATCCCCGGTGGCGGACAGATGGACGGTCAGTCTCAGATCCCCGGTGGTGGACAGATGGACGGTCAGTCTCAGATCCCCGGTGGTGGACAGATGGACGGTCAGTCCCAGATCCCCGGTGGCGGACAGATGGACGGTCAGTCTCAGATCCCCGGTGGTGGACAGATGGACGGTCAGTCTCAGATCCCCGGTGGTGGACAGATGGACGGTCAGTCTCAGATCCCCGGTGGTGGACAGATGGACGGTCAGTCTCAGATCCCCGGTGGTGGACAGATGGGCGGTCAGTCTCAGATCCCCGGTGGTGGACAGAGGGACGGTCAGTCTCAGATCCCCGGTGGTGGACAGATGGACGGTCAGTCTCAGATCCCGGTGGTGGACAGATGGACGGTCAGTCTCAGATCCCCGGTGGTGGACAGATGGACGGTCAGTCTCAGATCCCCGGTGGTGGACAGATGGACGGTCAGTCTCAGATCCCCGGTGGTGGACAGATGGACGGTCAGTCTCAGATCCCCGGTGGTGGACAGATGGACGGTCAGTCTCAGATCCCCGGTGGTGGACAGATGGACGGTCAGTCTCAGATCCCCGGTGGTGGATAGATAGACGGTCAGTCTCAGATCCCCGGTGGTGGACAGATGGACGGTCAGTCTCAGATCCCCGGTGGTGGACAGATGGACGGTCAGTCTCAGATCCCCGGTGGTGGACAGATGGACGGTCAGTCTCAGATCCCCGGTGGTGGACAGATGGACGGTCAGTCTCAGATCCCCGGTGGTGGACAGATGGACGGTTAGTCTCAGATCCCCGGCCAATGCAAACAGCCCATCACCGCACACCCCTCCCGCCCGCCCCTTCCCTTGCTCCCGTTCCTTCCCGCCGCGGTCGGAACGGGGCGGGAAGGGATGAGATTGACGGGATGGGAGAGACGGGACAGCGTGGACGAAATGGAATAGGACGGGATGGGATGGAAGGGACTGAACGGATAGCATGGACAAGAAGGATAGGAGAGGCGGGACGGATGGGACAGATTGGACAAACGGAATGAATGGGATGCCACTGACGGGACGGCACAGGACCGGAAGGACATAATCCGCCCAAAACTGAGGTGAGGCAAGAGCTTCAGTATTACTAGACATACAGGTGACAGGATCGTGAGATATGTAATTATTTCAAATTACTTTTAGCCCTATTACATGGAGGCACATTTGAAAGTCACGATGACAAAAATAATTGGGTGCGTCACTTCATGAAATATCATTCCACAATACACGCAAATTTCCGAGCATTATTTCAACCAGTTTCTAATTAAATTCCCATATAAGTTGGGCCGAAGCAGCTGCGTAACTTGGTTTCCGGTAATAACTAGCCACTGCACTGGCTGGGCTGGGCCAGTGGTCGTTTATAGCAGCGGTCACACGCAGAATGTCCGCTGTGCAGCGGTTCCATACACGGTGTATGCACAACTGGACTTGAAATGGAATTCCCAATCCCATACAGCTGGTACAGCGCATGTCCTCCTCCCCAGCTTTCATAAAGTTTGACAGTCTATTTTAATGGAAATCACAGTTTCGAGCCAAAAAAGGCTAACAACTGAATTGTCAGCCTTCCGAGGCGACATTACGCCTCCACATTATCATCAGGCAAGCCCCCTGCAGTGGAAAGACTCCACCCATGAATGGCTGCGTGCGGACGGTTCCACCTCTCTCCCTCCCCCTCCGCCAGTGTCTGAGTAACGTCCGTCCACAACACCTCCACGCCACTCTGCCGCCGCTCTGTCGCTGCGACTCCATCGCAGTGACATGCGAACGTGCATTTGTACATTCGCACATACGCCATCGGACCACAAAACGGCCGTCGCGGCGACTGACCGCTGCGCCACGCACCCTCGGCCGGCGCGCCGCTCCCTGTTTGTTGCAGAGAACGTTGACCCCGCGACGGCGGCGCCAGCTGACGTGTTTATCCGCAAATAAACGGCGCTCTGCCGGCCCGGAGCCGGCTGCAGAGTGCGTACGTACATGTTGCAGCGCTGCTCTGAGACGCGGGCGGCGGAACGAGCGCCGAGTGGTGACATCTAGCGGGTGTTTGGGCAAACAGAGCAGGGTGGTTCGGGGAGCGCCAGCGTTGGCAATGAACAACGGGATAGCCCGGATATCGTGGTAGTTAGCCTCCGAATTCGCAACTGGGCACCAAAATTTAAGTGCTCATTTGATACAGAACCATCAGTCAGTCAGCCACTCAGCCAGTCTCGTCGTTTTACTGGGCCCGTGCGGGCTCCCGTCAAAGGGAGGCCACGTTCGGCCCGGGGAAGGTTCGGTGCCTCGGTGACCAATGACAGCCCATCTTGCCACGAGTCTCTAACCGTTCGAGGGAAGGGCTGGAAGCCGGAAGGGGGTGGGATACCGATACGGTCTATTAAATGCTTACAACACAGTCTAAAGTCTTGTCACGAAGCGCTTTCATCCGAACTAGAACGAGTCGCTAGGTAGAGGCCATGGACGGCACATTTCCGGGAATCTGTAGTCACCGTTCGTGCGGCAGGTCTTACCGTTAAATGGACCAGTTATCCGATTATTCGTGTATCTGTTGCGGCCCACGACTGGGCTTGACGAGCCAGCGCGGCCCAAGTTGCTGGAACGTCCAGCCGTTTATTGGCGAGGCGCTACTAAAACGATCGGTAGCGGGCCGGCACGGAACCGATCCAGCGCTCAGTCGCCAGGTCAGAGCTAGCTTTCTTGGTAATCTGATCACAAGGTGTCAGTGGTGACGTTAGGCGGCCGTATCATTGTCGACCACATTTGCCGCAAGGCAGCGGACAGAAGTCACAGAAGGCAGCCAGTTTTTTTAGATACACGGACACCCGAAGATTTCAGCATGCATTGTCGACATCATTATGTGGCAGAAAAAAGACCGCACTTCCCCCATAAGTTGGAATTTGTCACTAACAATCCCTATTTCTCGTAATAAATACCTTATCATAAGTAAATGCGCTTCGAAACGAACAAACTTCTCATCAACGCCTCGACCTTTGATGTAAATATAACGGGTAAAATAACGCAAAAAAATCAAAACCAAGCGCGAGAACACGAAATAAATGTGCAAAAGAAGAGTGAATCAGTCATTCCGATCCCTTTGTCTCAGTCAGTCTCAAGTTATAGATTACTTTGCCGCCAGTGATCACGACCCGTTTATTTCTACCGGGCGGCTTTGTCCCAGCTCTGCCATCATCATGCGGTGGACTCTTGGCTTGGAAAATGGAACATGAAAACATAAGCGGAGGGAAGAAATCACCCATGTAACTCATACCATCGAGTCATTGTCTCACTGAGTCTTGCGTCTCGTTTGACTGAAAGTTTTCAGACTGTCCTCCAGAACAGCACCGGTACTCGAGTAAGTCCAAGAATAATACGTGACCGCCGATACGTAGGGCCGGTAACTGTTTCACCTTCTGAGGCTGAGAGCGGCACTGTCCCTCTCACCCTGTCTCTCGCCAGCCCAGAACACCGTCACCGCCCTCTCACCAGCTCAGAACACCGCCAAGACGGTCGGCAGCCCCACAGCCCCAGCGGCCGTGTTTGCTATGACTGCGGCCGCCGCAACCTCGGCGCATTTCAGCGCTGACTCATGTGCAGAATCAGACCAAAACTCGATAAACTGGGGCGGCAGCCGCGCTGAGACGGCAGCCAACTCCATATATGACCGGCGGCTGGTGCGCCGGAGAGGCTGACCGTCACGTCAGCTGCATGTTTGGCGGAGGGGATCGACGGCGCCGAAAAACGGCCAATTATTTATTGGTAAATAAATAACTGAGCAGAGCTAAGTTGTCATCAGATACGCAATGCCAAACACTTCTTGTTTGTTGGCGCTTTTGGCATGCGCCAATGGTGAGGTCATTATGCATGCATCGTTAAGTGCAATGGATGCAAGATGGCATGAGAACATGATGATTTTGAAGGTCAATTCCACATCTCAACCACACCTACTTTATCGAGAAAAATATAACATTGAATTACAGGCATTTCGGGAGGATCCTGGCAGCATCCGGACCGTCATTTTGGACCAGCGAACGAATTTCGATACGTTTGCGGTTTCTAGAGGGATTGGACCCTGGAAAGTGTTAAATCATATTTCGTGGCGCTTAAACAGCGGACCAACTTGAATGAGAGCTTCAACAAACGGGAAAACTCACATATGACAAAAAAAGAAATGAAAACTTGTTTCTAGCCGAGCCCGAGGTCACCGACACATTAAATGTGCAAGATTATTGTATCAGCCAACAAATCCGAATGAAAATCATAGACTCTGCAATGCCTTCTCACGATTCACGGGCTGACAGGGAAGAGCTGGCGCCACCTGTGCCACGGATCCATCGCGCCCGGCGCTGCCAGCGCCACTGAGCTACTCCGACCTCAGCTGGGCGCAGATAATCCGGCGCTCACCATACACGACATAACATGAGGACTTCTTTTTAAAAAGGATTTTCTGCCCTTTCAATCCTGACAGCCAGCCGGCCCCACCACTGATTGCGCCGGCGTACCTGGGCTCACGCCTTACTGTTGTCCCTGTCCAAACCGTCGAGGGCAGGCCCGAAAAAAGTACACCACTCCGGAGCGACCATTCGAGTGGTCGGATGGCCCGTCCCACTGGGACACTTCTGTCCCGACAGAATGGGCTCAATCGATGAGGACCAGAGTCGACCATTCGCAGCGTCACCCTTTTATATCCAACCCTTGATTCAACCTATCATCACAGTTCACACTGCCCTGAAATGATATCAATGGACAAAAAGTGTCTAATCCTAGAAAATGTTAAGCCAATTCACCCAAGGTAGCACCTCACCAAGCATTCAATTTGTGTGCATATTTTTGTGCCAGTACCACGAACCTTCGAAGCGGTAGCCCGGAATAGAGTGCTGCCGAACAGTTTGACCTCATTAGGTGGCACCAGATAGACGGCCTTGTCCCCGTGTAAAGCACCCACATACCGCACGTGCGACCTGCATCGTGTAATAATCGGTCAACGGAACAAAGTGCCACCAGCTAATTGATGGTATTTAACTCTTGTTTGCATTCCACCGCAGGTTGTATCGGGTCGGCGCAGACCGATATTTCGTTCGGACAATATACCGTGCTACTCAGTTCAAATGAAGTGGGTGCGGGGTGCATACAGGTATAAATATGATATCAGACAGTCCGCACGGCGCATTGTAAATATTCGCTGTACATATAGTGTCTATCGGCTTTGCACGCATGTGCGTGTAACATATGAGGTGCCATAGTCAATGACCGGGGATACATGAGCACAGTACCTAAATGCGTATTATAAACGGATTATACAACGCTGAGCGATTAGGAAAAGCCGTTCCTAATGCGCATTTGCTTACTCATATATTCGAGGCCAATGCCAAATAATGATGTGGTGTGCGTGGAGGAGGAACCTATCGCACTAGGATAAGGGACGTTCACTGGGTATTCAGCTTCTTCCGACCAGACGTAATTTCCCATTCGAACGGTTGAGGCCAGAGTCTGTCCAACAAACCGTTCTTAGCACAATCAAACGCACTTGGGCTCTGGCTTTCGTCAATCCGTTCATTTCAAAATACTTAAATCAACTCGGTGACTACCCTCAACATCTAAAGGCATCTGAATACAATGCCGAGTGCAGTATAAACTAAATACGACGCCACAGTCTCGCCCACGCAGCGGCCAGCTTCAGCGAGGCCGGTGACGCAACCGGGAACACAATGATTACGTTACTCGAAACTACGGAGAACCCACCTGGGGCCTGCCGGGCCTGC